ATCTTCCGTTCGCCTGTCCCTATCTACTACAGAACATACAGGTTCTGGCTTCTTGCCTAAAGGAAAGCAAGTGCAACTACCATCCACACCTCAGAAACAAGACCCATTCACTAGAGGTCAGAGAACACAAATGCATTGTGCTCTTTGGCTGGAAAAGGCACTTGGTCACAAAATTTAGGGCATGTAATTGGAAGACTTCTAATCTTCTTGCTAGCGTTGAAACCACTCTTTCTTTAGGACAGTTAACTTTTTCCTATCTGCAATTCTGAAAAAATGAAGGGTAATGATGGTAGCAACCCTCCCTGGTAGCACACAGCCTCTCATAGATTAAAGGTAATTTTTTATCTATAACTCCTCAGATAGACTTCACAGACAAGACACTCACTTCAGGGCTACACATCCTCACACTGCATAACTGCTCAGCAGAGAAGCCACAGCTTAATCAACTGTCAATCACAATTTATGGTAAGTTGGGCCATATGGGAACTGGGACTGGGGCTCTGTTCCTAGCCCTGGCAAGGGAGGAGGAGGGAAATAGCACCCACTCTTCCTCTTAAAATAGGCACAGCCCACTGCTCAGCTTCGGAGCTCATCACAACCAACATGTACTGCATGAATGTCCAAGAACTGTGTCTGGATTGCAGCAGCTTTGCCTACAAATGGAAAGTTGGAAACTCATTCTCTTCAGAGATACTTGTTTTTTTAAATATAGTCCAATTATTTCCCAAATCATACATTCAGCTGACCTGAGCTCCAATAAGGAAAAAGAACATCTGCTGTCTTCTTTCTCATTATATTCTCCTGGACCGCTTAAAATTTAGTACAGGACATACCTGCACAATATTAGTGTCATTTGTGTTTTCAGCAAATTAACCATTAGCAACTGCCAGATCCTACGGTGGTGGAAAGTCTCATTCGCTTTGAATTCCATCAGTACTCACACACACACTACTCTTTTTGAAAATGCTGGTATTACTGCAAACATAGAACTAAGCAGGTTCTCTTACTTGTCACATAAAGTCTTCAGTCAGTGGTAAATCCAGCAGAAACATTCTACAGCACTTTTTCAGTCTTCTGAGCAGGAACACACTGCACATGCAGCTCCAGCAAATCAGCAAAAGTCTCCTTCCTTTCTCCCTCCCAAGCAGGGACATGTTGAACATGTGGAATGAGTGTGCTTCTTTTTGACCCCCATCCCGAATGTCTCCAGTGTAAATAATCCTAAAATAAAATAAACCTGTTTGCTCAACTAATTGTTTACCAGACTTCTAACAGTGCACATCTGCCTTTGCTGTTAGAGCATGAGGGCACAGCAACAAGTGACAAAGTTGGGTTTATTACTATATTAAAAATTAAAAAGTTAAAGTTAAATTTAAAAAGTTAAAAATTAAACAAACAGCTGTACGGGGGGGGGGGGGGGGGGGGGGAATTTCAAAGAGCAGCTAGAAGGAAAAAAAGGGAATTCAAAAAGCAGAAAGACTACCCCCTTAATCTTGGCAGTAAGACTAAACAGAGGTGACTGTACTTCTCCTCAGCACAGCTTTACCTTCACATTTCCTCCTCAGCAATTAAGGCCTAAATCCCAGTACATAAAAGACTGTCAGCTCTCCTGCCTCAAGACAAGTGTTTCTGCACAGTACATAGGACAGCTTCCCTTCCACAGACAGAGAGGTTTTACATGCAGAAGTTTCAGCTAGGTGATCTGGTTCACATATCACATACCGTCATTTTCATTTTACTCACAAGTTGTACAGAAGGGAAGCCACATGTCTCAAAGCAGCTCTGCTGCAGAGCCCCGAGTTGTGGCTTCTCCACCTTGTACCTATCTGCTTGTGAGTACTCTCATGGCACTAGTTTTTTCCCTCCCATCTTGCATGCATTTCCATATCCCAAGGAGTAAGGATGATGAAGTGGATGAAGAACACCCTCTGAGATCAGGCAAGCACAACGCTTTTCAGAAAGAAGCAAGTCTCTAAAGCATCAATCAGGAGAAAAGGTCTTGTTCCCTCCTTTCTCTCATCCAACATCCAAACACTGCTGTATTCAGCAGCATTTTCAGATGTGCCTGTGCAGTCATAGCACATCAGTAACCAGAAAATTTACAGAGGATTGATGGATCACAAGCCAGCCCTCACATTTTGTCCTTGTTCCCAAGTTTTTCCCTTGCTTTGTAGGCCTGGCCTCATGAGAGAGAGCAGAAGAGGGGAAAACAGCAGAATTTACAGCATCATGAAAACAAATTCCTGTTTTCAGAGCCAGATCACTCCAGACCTGACTTCGTTTCAGAGAGGAGAGCAATTAAACTCATCCATTGCAGTCCTTCCATACGGGGAATGCTCTTTTTATTCAATTAACTTTTCTGTAACTAAGGTTAATTGCCCATGTGGTATCTGCCTTGAGTTATCAAAGGCTTCTGGCTAAACTGCCATCAGCACAGAGACAGGAAGAGACCAAAAAGACCAGGAAGAGCAGAGAGCTCAAAAGTGGCAGGCAACTGGCAAACACTGGCTGGTATTCCCTCACTAGGAGTTCAAGGCTTAAGACTAGCAAAAGGCAACAACTAATACACTGAGGTTTTGCAGGACTTGCATTCCTTCACAAGACCCAGCACCAAGAAGACAGCATGTCCCTAAACATCTGCCCAACTTTTGCATAAGAAAACCCTGCTCACAAGAACTTGGTGATTAAAGCCAAGATTTTCAGTATCAAGCTTCTAAATCTTGAGCAATTCTCAACAACAGGGAGACACAGAAACACCAGCACAGCTCAATCTTTGACCATGCCAGCAAGAGGAGATACAGTCATGTTTGCCTCTCATGGGTAAGGGCTGCAGCTGGGAAAGGTGCTGCACAAAGCCACAGCCATCATCCCAATTAGGTCAGCCACCTTCTTCCCAGCTCCCACTGGTTCATCTCACCTGCAGAGCTCAGTGAGGAATCACAGAATTGGAAGATCATCTTCAGAGATCATCTAGTGCAAACATCCTGCCATGGGCAGGGAGATATCTTCGCTAGTTCTGGTTGCTCAAATCCCCATCCAACCTGACTATGAACACTGCCAATGATGTGTATCCACAACTTCTCTGGACAACCTGTTCCAGTGCCTCACCATCAAAAAAAAATTTCCTTATGTCCTACCCAAATCTAAACTCTCAGTTCAAAACTGTTGTTCCTTGTCCTGTCATTACGCTGTAGAAAGTTTTTCTTGATCATTTAATAAGCTTTTTTGTACTGAAAGGCTGTATTAAAGTCTCTCTGGAGTCTCCTCTACCACCAGAACCTGTTCTAGGCATCCCTCATCAAAAAACTTCCTATGAAATTCCATCTTTATTTAAAGTGTTATTATCTTCCAAACATTTTTCCTAGCAGGAGCTGGTTGCATGTCCCTCTAAGGATATTCATGGCAGTGCTTGGTGAGTTCTGCATTGAAAACAAATATTAAATCTCAAACCTGAATTTTCCCTTCTTATATACACTCTTGACCCTATCTTTGCAGAGACTTCTTGTTCCAGCATATAGGACCATGGAGATTAGTTCATTAAAGCTCCTGCTTAAGTAAGGCAGTAGTTTGTACTGAGCACTCTGTAGTTCATAGCCACAGGAACATCTTAATGTCTAAAAGTAGCCTAGAAGTTGCATTTAGGTACCTGCAAACACCCCTGAGCAGCCATGTGCCTCTTCCCACTGTGCTTTCACTGTAGCTCTCCAGGAGAGAGGTTGTTTTTTTTTCAGAAGGTGTCCAGCAAAAACCACACTGCTTCAAAGAGCACATTAAATTGAAGGAACCAGATTAATTTTAACTGAAGTCAGTATTTGTGCTACCTCTGCTAACAAGCCACAGACATCTGGACTGCCAATAGGCCCTCATCATAATACCTGATATTTGTAACACCTGAAGAAACCTAACTTACACCTCGACCAACTTCCAAAAGGAGGCTCAAGCCCAAAGTGTGCTTTTGACCTCCTGAGATCATTGGTGACACCCAGCAGTTAGGTGAGGCTGGGCTCAGTTGCATCATAGCCCAGACACCCAACTGCTGGCCCATAAATACCAAGTGCATTTTATTACATAGAATACAGGTTAGGAAAAAGCTATGGTTTCCATTTTCTATTGTTCTGTGCAATAGAGGACAGGAGGGAAGAGTCATCTACCTAGTTCACCATCTTTTGGTACATCAGATCATCCTACTCAGCAATTAACACCCAATCCAAACAACGAGGGGTGAGAGGGGGCAGAGTTTCCAAGGTACCACTTAGCTACTTGAGATAAACACGTGGGGAGGGGGGAACCCCACAATAACTGGGTACACATAAAGGACAGGTTCTTTCCACCATCAAACAACCATGGATGGTCCTGGCCACCCTGCCCTGCAGTCTCCTCATGACACACCTCACGTGCACAGCCCTGCCTCACCTCGCAGCCTACCAGAGGGAAAGCACCCTGATCCTGAGGAAATACAGTGGGGGAAACAGCATTTAAGAAGGCTTATTAAGTGCACACGCACACACACCCTTTGTTTTTAATTCTTCTTTTTTTTTTTTTTTTTTTTTTGGGGGGGGGGGAGGGGGTTGTTTGGCTTCTATGTGGGGTTTGTGTTGGTTTGGTTTTTTTTTAAGTTATTTTGAATGCAGTACTATTATCCCCACAACTCTCTTCTACACTTTAAACGCATTCTGCTGCTAGAACTGCTGGATATCCAACCTCCCTTTGGCGGTGGGGAGCACCAATCCACCTGCCCAACCCGCAGCCCCGGGAACACCGGCACCCTCCCAGGCGGCAGCCCCGTCCGCGCCGGGAAGGCGGAAAGGAGCCCGCAGGTGCACTGCGGCTCCCGAGCACCGCGGCGGAGGGAGGATGCGGGCAGGACGGAGGGAGAGCCCGGCCGCTCCCGCACAGCGGCGCCGGTACCTCCCCGGCACGCAGCCCCCCACCCGAGAGGGTGAGGGGACACGGTGCTCGCCCCGCCGCGGGAGCCCTGGCGCTCCCCAGGTCGCTCCTACCTGCCCGGGCTCGCTGCGGTAGGCGAAGGCGTAGACCCGCTCCGAGCTGATGTTCACGGCGCCCCGGTAGACGTGGCCGAAGGCGCCGGGAGCGGGGTTGTCCCCGGGGCCGCCCCCCGCTGCCGCCGCTGCCGCGCAGAGCAGGGCGCAGAGCAGAGCCCCGGGGGCCGGGGCTGCCCTCCCGGCCATGGGCTCCTTCCTGCCCAGCCCGCCCGGACTGCGTGTCCCCGGCAGGGCGGGCGGCGAGGCGCTTCAGCGGCGATTTAAATAAATAGCTCGGCGACAGGGGCGAGAGGCGGCGGGGGCAGCGCCGCACGCCCCCGCCCCTCGCCCGGGGGACGCCGAGCAACTTTCCCCGGGGAAGGACCCTCCGCCGGCCGGCGGGGCGGGGAGGGGAGGGGAAGGGAGGCCGGCCGGCGGGCTGGCTGGCCAGCCCAGGGGCGGAGGGTCTCCTCTCTGTGACCGGCCCCACATTCTGAGCCCGGCTTAGCGGCGGATTGTCAGAGAGCTTTTCCACTTGGGGAGCTGTGCCGTGAGCGCAGGGACACGCTGGCATCGTCAGGCATGTGGGGATCAGCATCTGCAGGGCTTCAGCACTCCCTGCCATCCGCGTTAGGGGCGTCCTCGCTTCATATTCTGCCGGCTTGCTGGAGCTGCAGATCGCACCAGAAATTCTGTATGGGGCGCTCCCTAACCTTTCTTTTTGGCTGCTCAGAACTTTGAGATAAATGCTCTCGTCCTTTAGTTCAGCCTAAAGGTGTGAAAGGCAGCAGCAAATGTAATTTCATTAATCTGAAAATGGCTTGTTGCATCTTTTCTTTACGTAATCCGTGGAACTGGCTACAAAGTATACTGATGCTCTTAACCTTTTCAGCAAGATGAGAGCAATACTGTTGGGCTGTGAAAAGACAAGGGATCTCTCACGGCTTAACCCTCCTATGAGGGTTGAAAACACACCTAGGAAATGTGTCACATCCCATGGTATAGGGATGCACTTTAAAGTCAGAGAAAATGGAGTGGAGTGTTACTTATAAAGCAATAAGAAGGGTTTTTCAGGCTGAGGATAAACTTTCAGGAGCCACAGTTTTATAAAGTCAGCCTGCAGTCTCCAGCTGCAGACTCTAGCCCCAGAAGCTTTACACAAGTTGTGGATTTTGTTTTCAAGGCAGAGAGATTTCCTAGGGGGTCACTTGTTATCTTTGGAGGAAGAGTTGCAAAGCTCAGCAAAACGAGCCAGCATGCCTTGTGCTGCCATTTTGATCTCCGGGCCCTCGTGTGATTTCTGCCAAGAGAAAAAAGGAAACAATTGTCAGTCAGTTCTGTCCATCTTGAAGCAGGGTTCAAGTCACCCTCCCTTTTGTCAGAGTCCCAAGAAGAATCATTAAGGGTAAAAGAAACCATTTGCGGTCTGCTGGAAGATGGAGAACCCAACATAAAGCCTTTCAGCCTAGAATATCATGCTCTGAAGACAAGGAGAATTGATGACCCTATCTTGCCTCTTAACAGGACATGGCATGACTTGGCCTGGCAGACTTCAAACAGTGGTGGTGCTGGGAGATTTATGGTTACCCCTCCCTACCCTGTGGAGTCCAATGCTCCTGAACCCTACAGCTCCTTTCTCACCCACTGCTGTTTGCAGATGCACAGGTCCTTCTGCCAGGGCCAGCAGCCCTCTAGCATGTGCTGGAGAGAGGACATCAGAAAACTCATCTCCCAGAGAGGAAACTTCAGGCAACAGGAGGAGGTAAGGCAGGTAAGGGCCATGCCTGGTTCCTCAGAGCAATTTGACTGATGGCACAAAGATGGTGTTCTGCAAACAAAGGTAGCTGTGGCAGCTGCAAATAATTTTTGTGTCATTCAGTGTAATGAATATTTCAGACTGAGATATCAGTGCACTGTACCTCTCTAGTTGTGTTGGTTCCATGGCAAAAAAGTGGCTCTTTATATAGTCCACATTTTCTAAGATAGAGTTATGCTATTCTTAAAGTGATTTCCCTGCTTAGATGTACCTTATGGTATCTTACCAAAACCTACGCATTTTCCCTCATTTTTAATTTGAGAATTCAAGTTTTCTAAGTGTCATACATTGTTCTTTTCTTAATTTCATCTCACTATTTTGAGGCTTTTTCTGTGATTTAGCAAGGGTAAACCTTTGTTCAAATCTTTTTCTCCAAGGTGTCACACTGCCTGGTTTAGTGTGATATGCAGAAGTTTGAAGTCAAAGGTCAACTCCACCATTCAAGTTGCTGATGAAAGTAAACAATTGTAGCAGACAGATCAGAACTCTTCATTTGATATACCTTCCTACTGACAGGAAAATATCCACTACACCAGTTTGGGAATTGCTTTTTAATCACACACTCTTCTCATGTTAATACCATCTGATGCCAATTTGCCTTTATGAGACTGGTGTTCAAGACAATGTCAAAGGCCCTACGGAGTCAAAACAGGTTTCACATACTCCTTTCAGCACTTACTAAGTCAGCTGTCTCAGCAGAGACATAAATTAGGTTAGTTTGACATGATTTGTTCTGGACAAATGCAGAGTGCCTGCTGCTCATCACTTTACTGTTATTTAGTCGCTCACACACTGATTGCTGAACAGCTCGTTTCATTACTTTTCCAGATAATAAATGGAGGTTGGTTGACTTATAATACTTCACTCAGACCCTTTGATAAAGATGAGTAGCCCATTTTCCCTTTTCATTACACCTGAATCTTGCTCTTGAAGGGCAGCATGTACTTTGGAAGAAAGAACCAATCCTTCTAAGAGACAGTATTCTCATCCAGATACACCATGGCTCTGAATCAGTGGAAGTGATCTTTTCTTGTGTATGCCACTGTACTCTGGCCTTGGGAGCCAGCAAGGGCCAGATGCCCACTAAGGGACAGGGATCTGAGTGCCACAACACAGAGAGGGGAGAGAGAGGCAAAGCAGGTGCCTCACTGGCCAGGGCTCCATCCCACAGCATCTGAGCAAGACAAGCAGGATGCGCCTGGATATGGAATCAACTGAGTCCAGAGTGGTGGACAAGTCAATAGCAATGGGATAGGTATGAGGTCAACCTAAGTTAGTGACTCAGGCCTGGTGATGGCAGTCAGGGACAGACAGCAGCAGGCAGGTCCCCAGCGGTGAGGCAGACCTGAGGTCTGGCCAGGAAGCTGCTCAGCAGCTGGGCCAAAGGGATACAGGCAGGGCTGTCACATGGCTGTAGCTCCAGCAGAGCCAAGGACCACAGCCTCACCTGGAATGAGCTGCCTTGTGAGGGGGAAGAGAGCCCTTGCTGGAGCCTCCCCACAGCCCTGATGCCAAAGTCACTGGAGGGAAGAGGGGCAGTGCTCAGCTGGGCTCTTTCTAGGTTGCCTATGAGCCCAGGGTGCCAAACCTCCAAAAAAAGGGGATGATGCTCCTTGGGGCCCTTGTCTCTTGCTGTGTGGAGGGCATGTATTTCATAAAAGGACCCATTTTTTTCAGTATAAATAAAGCCCAGGGTTGTGAATGTCTCAAGGGAAGGAGAACTGTGCTGGATGAGAGGCTCACAAGAGTGTGGTTTTGAGTTTTTTGTTGATTTTTTTCTTTCTGCTGTTGGGAGCAAAATAACAACAACAAAAAAAATAATCCCAAGCCAGTAAAGAAACTACATTTCCCCTTGTAACCGTGGCTACAAAAATATGCAGGATAGAGACTATTACAAAGAAATTCCCTAAATCATACTAACTTAGGGAAATAGCATAAATGTATAACAAACCACATTGTTTGGAAACCTGATGATATTTAAAATTACTGTTTGCATATATAGTCTCTTTCTTCTGTAAGCTCCTCTGTGAGTTAATGGATGCTGTAGATGCTCTACTGGCTTCTGCAGAGATAATGCCACATTTTCAGACTGCTGAAAATGCAGTGTGAAGAATAACGAGAAGTGAAATGTAGACAGCCTTTAAAGACGTTTGATAGAACCTGCTCCAACCTTTCCTATACGTGGGCAAAGTGTTTGAGAATACCCTGCTTGAATGAGAATTGTCTCTGGCTTGTGTCATATTTGCTTGTGTTAGCTATTTAACATTTATATTTTACTGTAATTAATAATAGCAGAGAGGATAAAGAGGTTTCAGAATAGATAATGTAATGATGCAATTACGCCTGTATTGCTTTCTTCTTCAGTAGGCCTTGTTCTTCAAGACAATTTAAAGCCATGTTAAGAGAGAATTCCAGATGTGCCCTTGATTTATTCTTTTTGCTTTCAAATTTTCAGACCAATACAGATTAATGAATTCCCTGGCATGCGTTTCTCTTCCCACAGGCTGAACTCTGATGATCACTTTCAGGTGCATATGGTGTCTATGTTGAGTGTCTAGATGGAAACTGAAGGCTGTGAGGTGCAACCTCCACATTTGCAGCACTTCATTAGAGGCTATTGCTGAAAGTATTTCTCTAATGCGTTTTTCTCCCCTCGTGATTTCCATCTTCTCCTTATATCACATGCAATACAATTCCTCCCCTCAATACCTTAACCACTACCTTTACATTAATCTTTTTACAGTGATGCTGGTAAAGCCAGAATTGCATTGATGGGGACCCTAAGCACCAGGAAATCTTGGTGAAATGGAAAAAGTTTTGAATTAAAAGCTGACAAACCTTGTGCCTTCACTTTCCAGCTCCCACAGACAAAATATTATGTTCACACTGTAATACAAAATGTGAAAAATGCCAATCACTTGTTCTAAAATTTTAAAAGTTTAATAGTAATAAAATGGTAATAAAAATAGAGTAATAAGATTTTGAACAGAGGTAGGACAATAAAGGACAATTAAAAAAAAAAAGAAAAAAGAAATATGGACAGTCCTGTCCTAGGCCAATTAAGCCCTGAAGTCACACATACTAACAAGGATTAACCCTTAAAAGCAGTACCCTGTTGCATATTCATATATCTCATACACAATGCATAAATTCTTTTCAAACAAAGGGTGTTTTCTGGTTATTGTCAACATCTTCCTTTTAATCTTGGTGGCTCCTTAAAGACAGAACAGGAGGTGGAAGAATGTTTGCCTTTTCCAATAAGGAGACAGTAACTCTTTAGGTGTCTTGTTGCTCTTATCTCTTTGCAAAGAATTTCTTGATCCCTTTATTGAGCTAGTTAAAAAAATATATTACATCGCATAGGTTCAATTTTAACATTATGTGATAACCTAAAACAATATCTGCCACACTACTTTAAAAAGGTTAATACAGTAATACTAATTAATACAACACATACAGTATTCCTTTGCAAAGAGCCAACCATATAATATGAACTTTTCACACGAAATGTTAGCTAACCTTTTTGAGTAATTACATCATGTCTTTACCTTTGTGGAGGGAAGTGGAGGATCTGTGGCACATAATGGAGTAAGTATGTAGGGAATATATTGCGCCTATCTGTGAACTCATTTCAGAACCACCAGTTGCTTCACGGAAACCAGGAATTCCTTGTGGCTACCGAGGTACACCCTTCCTCGCTGGCACAGCTAACGAGATCTGTTTGTTACACTTAAACGAGGGCCACTCTTTAATTTCCTATCCCCTTAATTTCATGGCTTGTGTGACATTCTGCTCTGAACCACCTATAACAGCATCTCAGGTACATTTTCGCACGGGGAAAATTCCAAGGCTTCCTCAGCAGGACACTGAGGGATCTCTTTGGAGGGTATTTGCAGCGGGGTGGGATAACAGCGAAGTGAAGGAGTAGGGAAATTAAGGCGAGGCGAGACGGAAGCCGACTGACAGCGCCAGGGGCTGCGCTGGAGGGAGGCGGTGCGGGCTGTGCCGCCGCCCTGAGGGAGGCGGGGCAGGGGCCGTCCCTCGCGGAACGCGCGGGCGGGAAGCGGCGGGCCCGGCCCCGCCAGGGGCTGCGCTGGAGGGAGGCGGTGCGGGCTGTGCCGCCGCCTGAGGGAGGCGGGGCAGGGGCTGTCCCTCGCGGAACGCGCGGGCGGGAAGCGGCGGGCCCGGCCCCGCTCCGCCCCTGGCTCGGGGCGGGCCGAGCGGAGCCGGCGCCGTTGGCAGCGCCGCTCCCGCCGCGCCCGCGATGTCGCTGCTCCGCGGGCCGCGGCCCCGCGCCGCCGGCAGGAAGGGCCCCAGGAAGGCGGCGGCGGCCAGGCGGGACTGGGATGTAAGTGCTCCCCGCTGCCGGGCGGCTCCTGCTGGGAAGAACGCCCGGGAGCCTCGGTGCCCACGGACGGGGGAGCCACCGCCCTCCGCAGGGGCTGCGCCGTGGAAACGCCCGCGTTGCGCGTGGGTCGGGGCCGGCAGGCACGGCGAGTGCGAGCGGACGCGGCCCCTCTGGTTTCCTTGGCCCTCCCTGGAATGTAGAGTGTAGGAATGGCCCCCCTCCGGCATCTCCTGGGGAAAGGGCACGCTCCGGTTTGGTGGGGCTCTCGTTTTTGGCGGCCGCCTCGCCGAGGGTGGGACCCTCGCCATGAAGGTGCACAGCAGTATTGTGTTAGGCGAATTGTACTGCAATTTAAAGTTGTTTTTATTTTTTTATAAAACTTAAATAAAAAAGTTTGCCCTCAGTTACGACCCTTGACGTGTTCCCTGGTTCCTTTTCACAGAGTACCGTCCATGATTTGACAGTGCACCGTGCAACTCCTGAGGATATCGTAAGTTTAATAGCAGTCACTGCTCTATCCCTCTGGCAAGGACATTTAGCTGATTGTCTGACATTAAAAAGTGCTTGCCATGCTTACAGGGATATTTTTTTGCCAATGCTTAATCTCTTTTCAAGCTTCTGAATGTGTTGTCTCTTTAGTGCCAGTTTTTTGTTTATGATACTGAGCATCCCGAGCTCTGGCAGTTGTTCTTCAGTTTCTTGTTCCCACTGGGAAGCAGTAGCTGCAGTTTTTATTTCAATAAATTGCGTGCCATCATAAAATAATAAAAACATAAATACATGAAAGATCAGTGCATTAGTTGAAGGTCTTACTTCTGCTGGGAAGGACTGAAAGATGTGCTTTTTCTGAGGAACCTCTCTAATTCTGAAAACACTTAATTTTCATTTAAACAATTTAACACAATTTGTTTGTACTGAGTGACTTGTTGATTGCAAAGTATATTAATTCTTTGCAATAAACAGATCATGTATATTTACATTTATTTAATTACATTGTATTTACATGTATTTAGATGTGTATTTACATTTTTGGTAGCACTAATTACCAGGATGGAAGACGCAGTATGAGCTATTATTATAAGTTTTGACAGGTTTGTCAGGACAGATGGTCGCAGTAGCAAAGAAAGACTTGGTTCTACAAGTGCTTACCTTGATAGCTTCTAGAGACTTTAGCAAGCGCCTCACATATTTAATTTCTTTAATTTCTATTTAAACTATATTTTTTCTATATAATCATTAGAAGACACTATATCTGATGACTTGCAATGTTAAATCAGGACAATGTCTTTTTATGCACCTTATAGGTGGTGGTGTTAGGTTTTTGCCTCCCTTTACACTGACTTACTGAGTCAGTGGTGAAGGGCAGACAGAAATTGAGACTTTCCCCATTCACCTTTGGAACTGCTTTAAATTTGGATGGTAATGATGGCATTTTACGCTTGTGGATGTTTATGAGGTTGTCATTGGCACTACTGTGAAGTTAACATAAATAATGTTTGGTGCATGAGTGATAAAACCAAGAAGAGCTCGTTACCTTTGCTTTGCAAATATCGCTTAAGATTGATTTTTGAAATTATTTCTTTTATGTTTCTGTAGCTCCGTCGCCGTGAAATACACAAATCAAAAAACAAAGCCTTGGCACATGTGGAACTCCAAGAGAAAGCACTGAACAGAAAATGGAAGAAGCAAAGGCAAATGGATGCAGATTCCTTGGAGAAAAGGAAGCTGGCTCTGATGCGTGAGGTGAGAGCTACATTTGCTCTTGCAGCCGGCTGCAGGTGATCTGCAGCACTCCTGGAAAACCACTTGTGCACAAGGAAGCCACAGCTGCTCCTGTTGTTGGACAACTTGATTTCATATGTGCACATGCTGTGTGTGTTGTATGCATGCAGTGATTGGAGTAGACTGTCTGACAAACCAGCTGTTACCTAGAATTGCACATTTGACCCAGGTTGCCTGGCTATGGCCTCTATAATTCTGCAGGCCTCTTTTCATCTGAACAGGAACTGTTTGCAGAGTTCAACTGTTGTAAAAAGTATGTGTGTGTGTTCTTTGAGTTTTTATTGCCAGCTTGCCTTTTCTTCCTCATGTCTGACATTTTTCTGTGATGCAAACATGAACATTTCTCTATCAGGGAGGCACATTGTTTATTTAAACAGACAAAGTGCAGTGCCAAGGGGGCTGAAAGGGTGAGGCAAGAAGTTGTTAAGGAAAGAAAGTTGATGTAATAAAGATTGATGAGCTGTGGCTGACAAGCTTGTCATCTGAAGATTGAAAAGCTTGTTGTCAGCATGCTAAAGCACTCTGACTGTAAATATATTATTGAATTTGCTTTTGAATATTGAACTGTAGCAGTAAACCTAAGCCTAGTTAACAAAGAGTGGCTGTCACTGAAAAGTGGTGTTAGATCTCCTTTTTCACAGGGCTGGTCATTCTTTCCATGTGTTAAGAAAACTCATCTGAAAATTAGCTTTCAGACCTCTTTACTGGAACAGGCTGAGAGTTGTTCCTACTGGTAAAGAATGATGATGAACAATGTTCACTTAGCAGTCAAAATAAACATGATATGCAAGCTCTAAATGTGCAGTGGACTAACTATTACAATCTTCATTGTTTTGTCTTTTGTAATTTTTCAGAAGTCACTTTCTGAACTGTGAGAACACTCAAGAGAACATAGACAAACAAATGCAAATACTTGGAATTGAAGATCACCACCTAGTTTTCTATTAGAAAACTTTTTCTCTGCAGTCAGAGTAAAAATTTTGTATTATGAATGGTTCACTGATTAAGCCTCAGACTTGGACTTTTGTTACTTTGGTACTTTACTGCCAAAGATATTTCAGCAGAGTATTCAAAATCCACTGTGAAGTGCTACATGACTTTCCCTAATGCAGCCCAGTTTCAATAATGCTTCCATGCAGAAATAAGTTCTGTGTCACAAAAGGTGGAATAGGCCATATCTTCTGATATTAGGTGGCCTATCTATTATGTGACTTCATTCTTTTGCAGATGTGAAGCTCATGTTTAGGAAATAATCTTCTATATTTGTTGCTGTTTCGAATGAAAATGTACAAATCTCACATCCTCCTGAGTGGTTTGCCCCTTTATAGTTATTCAGTTTACTCTCTGTTTATTCTGAATCAGTGAAAAGGAAGACAAAAGTAAATTATGTCAGGTAAGATGAAACAAATCTGGCTGCTGCTGTTTCAAACACTGGCGACTTCTTGTGTGTAGAGAAAAACAGAAGAGTTACCATTTTCACCTCTCCCTAACTTAAATCTTGTTCGTTGCCAGGTCCTGTTTTCCGAGTAACTGTGGAGACTGTCTCTCCCAGTAGAGTGCAATCACTGAGAATTGTTTCCTTGTCCCTGTTACCTTGGTGATCTTTTTCTTTTAGTGCTGTGAGTGTAACTTTCTAAGCCTCTTGAATCCTGCTCAACTGCAAAAGACTTGGAGACAAAAACTGAGTAGTTGCTGCTATTAGTATTGTTTCTCATGTAGTTGTGTGTTGAACAGACAGACATTACAAAAGAATTACAAAATAGATAAGCAAAGTTTTACTATTTTGGGGATTCATCTGCATAAAAATCTGAATGAAAAGATAATGAGCTTACTCTGAAGTTTAGGACTGTGAATTTGTAGGTACCACACAGATAGGTCCTGTAGCAACTTATTAGCAGCTTAACAAATAATGTTAGTGCATTGCACCAAAGAGTAGAGAGGTAAATACATTACTGTAGTGGAGAGATTTTAGGATGAGTCCTGTTTATTTTGTTTCGATAACAATCTGAAACAGGAGGGAAGGTGATTTTTAATGAAATTAGGTGATACTAAACTGGGACAAAGCACACTGCTCAATGAATTTATCCAGGGCATGTAAGTGGGGCTAAATGGGTTACAATATGATACCGCTTTTTCTTCTCCTCACAAGCAAATGTGAGCTAATCTACCTTGGGAGCAATGCTCTAAAAATGTTCATAATGTGTTCAGCAGGAGGGTAGAGCTTAGGAACCTGCTGATGCCAAAAAAGATCTAGTGAGGAGGGTAAAAACAAACTAATCAGGATAATTTTTGTCTGATTACACACATCACTCTAATTTTAATTATCTGCAGGAAATTAGTCATATAAACTTTTTTCCTTTTTTTTTCTTTCTATATTTTTTTCTTCTGCCTATCTGGTATAATAACTTTATCTAAAAACCTGCATTGTTTTGATGTCAGATGGAAAGCCTAGATTTAATCTTATCAGATGTGGAAATTGAACAGTGGTCTGAAAAATGAGATCTGTGAAGTGCTTGAAACATGAATATTCACTGACTTGCTAAATTACTATAAGTCTAATTTACTGCAGTGCAATGCAAGTTCAAAAGACTAGAAAAACATGAAACTCAGATATGTAGGGATACTTTGACATAACAAAGCATGTAGTAAAATAGAAGGTTGAGGAAAAACAAGTGAAATGCCATTGCATAGAATTTTTTGTATGAGGCTAAATGTAAGCCAGCAAACTTACCAAGGGCTGTTGAAAAGAACTCTGTGGAGATAGCAGTTTAGAGTACTGTGAAACTGTTTCAAAACAGTTTCTTAAGTTTCTTGAAGGAGCAAAAATAGTCAGTCAGTTTTCAAATTTTGAGTAGAGGGCATACATGAGCCTTTTCTGTGAGGTCTTCTGAAGTACTCACAGTCTCTGGATCAATTTGATGAACCATGATGAAGGACATCACTTACATATCTCCTCTCAGCTGTTTAGGAATATCTACCTTTTCCCCAGGCTGTGGGATATAATTTTACTAGTTTTCAATTTCCAGCTTTTGAATGAAGCCAGGCATCAGTGAGGAGCTTTAAATTGTGTTCTGCTCACAAAGTCCCACCCCCAGTCAGTTCCATTTGGCTCCTGGTAACTGCATGCCTCTTGCTTTGCACTCCCAAGACATCCTTCTTTGGGAGGAACTTGTTGTGATGGACTTCAAATACTAGAGAGAGAATTTGAATATAGAAGCTGTATCTTCTGGAGATTTCCAAAATGTCTTCTGATGCCAGATGTTGTCAGCTGTGTTTATCTCTGTTGGAACTTTTGGTTGTATGTGGCTTAAGTTTTAAGTAGGATTTTCAGGAGGCAAGACTGAGTGAAACAAGTCTGCTTGAATTGATTTGAATATCATCAAATAATACATGTTTTGGGGGTCAGATGTACATAAGTGACTTAACATTGAGATCAAGTGATTTGAGGAATGTTTTGTTTTTTTTAATTGCAATATATGTATTTTTTTTTTTTTTAATGAGCATGTCATAAATACCCGGCTTCTTGTGTCAGGCTGGGAGGAGAAGAGGGAGTGAAAGGATTTGTTCTAAAGAGAGTCAGTGGTGATGGGGACCTAAGAAGTAATAACTGTTTAATTTTTCAGAAAAACTGTATGAATTCTAATTACTGTGAATGAAGTATGGTGTTCTGATCTATCTTATTTAGGATCTAATTGCACAATACCAACTTTGCAAACATTCTCTTGTTGACTGTGCTCTCAGTAACTGTTTAGAGGAACAATACCAGGGGAAAAAAAAAAGGAAGTAATCAGTCTGCTCAGTGTAAAGTTTCCTTATACCCTGTACTTTCAGATTCTGTCTGATCAGTACCATTGGCAAGATGTATTGGAACGATCTGGTCAGGTTATAGCTGTGGCAAAAGACTTGCTTGAGGCTGCTCCTCGCACACGAACAGGTAGAACATCTCATCTCTATGTGGTAGCACATTTAAGATGGTCTCCTTGCTTTCCATGAATAGTCTTGCTTTGCAAAGCTTTCTTTTTAACTGCTTTAATCTCCTTGTCTAATGTGGTGTGATTGATCCTGTTCCTGTTGGATGAAACACAGGTGAGGCTATCACCTCCTGCAGCAGGGGAGAGTGACTGATGGCTGGTTACTCCACTGTATTGCTCCAATGTGGAATTTCACATCAGGTGCTCTGAAACACCTCCATGCGCACCTTTTCACAGCCAAGCTACTGGCCTGTGCAGAGCAACAGTTTGAGCTGCTGCCATAGTTCTGATTCTCATTGCTGCATGAGCTGACTCTTTGCTCTTGGATATGGTTGATGATTTATCAACAATATCAGCTTTTCCTTTTCTTATTTTGGCTTGTGGATCCTTGTGATGCTGGAAGGCAGGATTGGCTGGCTGTAGATGAAATCTTAAACCTAGGGGCTTTTCTCTGTAGGCTGCCATTCTCTTTTGTTCCTGGTGACTTTGATCCTGCAAGCTGGTTCTGCACAAGTGAATTTATGCAGGTGGGAAGGACAAAAGCTGGGTATATGGCACAGTGTATTAAATTAACCCTGTGGTCGGTCTTTGGTTGTTGTTTAAAGTGACATCCCTGTGACCCTTTTTTTGTGAAGTACAGGAGCTTGATTTTCAATACAAAGTCCTGAAACATAAGTACAGACCAAGCCCTCTGTGTTCTTTCCTCTGTTGTTTAATTCCTCTAGGTTTTCCTAATGTAACAATGGCTCCTAACTGTGACTTAGAATCATCTCAAGGACCCATTGTACAAAAAAGTCATCCTCCCAGCCAGCTTTCTGTCCTTAGTGAATCTGTCATGGATTCCCAGGTAATGTATATTTTGTTCCATCCATACACATCCTGTGGATTTTTTGTTTAAACAAAATAAGACTATTCAAAGACAAGAATTTCGAAACAGAACTAAATTCGTTTTTGTTGATAACATTCATACAAGACAAGAGTAAACAGAGGTGAGTTTCTTTTGTGAGACTCTAGGAATCGTGATTTTTTTGATTTAACTACTGGATATGAGAAACAAACATCATTATGTCTTGTAGAAGCTCTCTCAAATTAGCATGCCCTCCCTTTTAAATTCTGGAATGCTTAGAAAGAGTACAATGTGATTAAAGTTTAAGAGAAGAACTTCTGTATCACTTAACTAATTGCCATATTTCAGAATATGTCTCTGATCTACTGATTATGTCTGCATATATGGGGACACAGCCATTTGTATCCCAGTTCACTCCACAGCCTTGATGACTCCTACAAGTTTAACTTTTAATATTTCACATTATTTTACATTTATTCTGATTTGTTGTAAACAATTTTAAAATTGTTCAAAACTTAATTTAGTTCGCCTTTGTGCTCCATTTTCTTTTAATAACATATTGTACCAGGAATGCTCACTGGGGTTTGAGAACAGGCATGTGATACTCCCAGAAAACTTCTCTCTGATGAAGACCAAACAGGTTGTTGGGAGCAAAAGTGATGGTGTCATATTCCCACAGTTCTCTTCTTCCATTTCTTACTGTCTTGCAAAAATACCTGTAATTTGAGTTGTGGTATTTCTGTGTTAGGTATTGTGGTGTGGCATTTGTTTTTCCATTTTTTGATATTAGGAGAGAACTGCAGCACCTTTGTTAGCTGTATCAGTGGATGCAAGCTGCAGGATAAGCTGAAATTTTTAAAAGAAACAGGCATTGATTGTGTGTCAAGCTTCTGTGAGTTCTTATGTGCCTACAAAAATCACAGTTAAAGGCTATCTGGTGAAACCTGTCCAGCAGCTCAGAAACCTGGTAGTTTGAGTAACCCTGATTCCAAATTTGGTTGTTTGTATTTAGCTGTAAATGTAGTACATAAGATTGTGTTTTGTTCTAGTTGCGTTTTACATACAGACTATAAATGTAATTTTGCAGGTCTCATTATGAAGTTGTTTAGCTTGTAATGTCAAATGACTGAAATGTTATAAATGGTATGGATTCAGGTTATTTTTCCATATTTTGCCTGTTGTATCTCTGTTTAGGTACAGCCTTAACAGCTTTTATTTTATCCTCTAATTTGCATGGATTTTCATATTTAATATAAATCATACAAGGAAAATATTAGTTATTGAATTAGTCACCTGCTTTGTTATTTTCAGAGACAATTGTCACTATCAGTGTTTCTTAGGTACTAAAGTCCCCCAGAACTTCCTGCAAAGGGGTGTGGGTTTGGTTTTTTTTCTGTGTGGTATTTTTATTTTAAATATCTTTTTGGGGGGAAAGACTAAAACCAATTTTTTTTGGTTTTTTTCTTGAAACAATTCCATTAAATTGGTCTCTGACTTCTTCTGAATTCTGTTTTGTTTTCTTTGTTGTCTCTTGAGAAGGCTCTTAATGAAAAGGAGGAGGAAGCATTAGCAGAAGATGGACACCATGATGTTTTGGGTTTCAAATCCAGGATCAATTCTGACAGGTCAGTACAAATATGGGTTTCCACCTGCTTGACATTGGAAACAGGTGGAGTCAAAAGGGTGTTGAATGGGTATAGTTAAGTTAGTTCTTTTCTTTCCCTTTGCCATCCTTTCCTGATCTCAGAATTCCAGGGAAAGGCCTTGTTGTAACATTGAGACTGGGAATGAGAGTGAGTAGGGAACTCACCTGAGCAATTGCAGATAATTTTAGGAGCTCTGTCAAGACAGAATCTGGAATCGTGCCATTGTCCTGTTACAATTCACTGTTATTCTTGTTTTGAATATAGGCTACTTCGGTTGTTGAGAAAAGAAAGTTCTTTGGTGAATTCTCCATTGTGGGTTGAAAAGGATATGAGAAAATCCACCTTATCACAGGAATCCAATGTGCCTTGCACTCCAACAACTGTTTCTCCTTCACTGGATCACTCAGGTTGGGTTTGCCAAATCACATCAAGGTTGTTGGGCTGTTTGTAGGATCCTGTTTGGAGTTCCTATAGGGGTCAGAGACAGAAATGTATGCTGATTTGGCTCAGATGTATTTCCAGACTAAAAAGCCATCTCTTATCATAAAATTACTCTAGAACCCACTAGTATTAAGAACATGCCTGAAATATTTCACATGTACTCTTTTTTGTTTATTTTGTGTTTAAATCAGCTCTCAATGCTACCAGTGTAATCAAGAGAACCCATTCAAGACTTCGAAATGAAGATGAAGAAGAGTCTGTAGACTCCAGTGACACTGTGAGACAAGTGCTGAACCCAAACTCAAGAAAACAAAAGCAAATTGCAGCAAAGAGTTAAGTACTTTTAAAAATAAAATATCCTTTGTCCAAGGTCCTTAATTTTTTAAGAAAGTATGGGTTGGAAGGGATTTCTGGGAGTCATTGAAGGGCTAATACCAAAGTTTGATGAGGGGGTCCTTGAGTCTTGAGTATTTCTCAGGCCGGATGTTCCACAGCTCCTTGTCTAGTGTGTTTTCCTGTGTTCTGCACGTTCATTGGCAAAGCAGAGTCCATGGGAATTTGGGAACCATAAAACAGCCCTTTGAGGCTGCCAATTACCTTGCTGGTCATGGAGTTCTCTCCTGTGCAAGACTTCTCTAGTTCTGATCCAGATTTGTGTTCTGTGCTACACAGATTAAGGATGCATTTCAGTCCCCATATTTTATGTGTTTGTATGAGGGGACTGACATCAGTTACAAGCTGTAATATGGAAGGAGAGTTGCTTACCGAGTATGAGAAAGCAGCAGATGTTTTACATTAGCAAACTATTTCCATGCATTTAACTGGAAAGGAGAAAAATGCAAACAGGTGTATCCAAGATAAAAGCACCTAGCAGTTGTGCTTGAGAGGTACTACTGTGGCAGCAAAAAATGTGCTTTTTAGGCTCTGACAATAACTGGCATAACTGGGGACATTCTTTGATGGTCTGTTTCATCTTACGGCAAGAGAGGACGTTTCCTTTGATTTATTTCAATAAACAATGTAATTTCATTGGTACTGCAAAGATCTCTAAACAAGTTGAAATTCCAATTACCTCTTTTTCTTCTCCTTCAGTGAAAAGAAAGCAAGCTGAACAGAACTCTGCAAGACAGAAGAGAGGTGATTCTCCAGCTAATTTAATCCAGACTGACCTTCAGAGGGACAGCAAACCCAGCCTAGATGTTCTCAGCCACATGATCCAGGAAGTAGAGCGTGAACTGGAGGAATATGAACGATGTACAGGTCGTGAGGTCCCAAAAAAAGAGAGGAGTGAAGGCCTGTCTGGGTTTACTCTGTCACTGGTGAACGCTCTCTGTCGCTTGATGCGCTACCTCAAAGAGGTGAGAGACTTAGAACTGCTCCTGGAGAGTGAGTGAAGAAGGGTGTAAAATTATTTTACAGATGGGAACTTTGGTCTTTTCTGGCTTCCAAGCATTTTACAGTGAACTTACCAGTACTTATTACTAGGTTTGCATGCAATTAGGAGTTAAAACTTTTGGTTTGTCAGGAACTGGTTTGTTAGGAATTGGTATCTCTAGTGAAAATGGAGGAGTTGACTGCAGTGAAAGTCTGTATCTAAGGGCAGAAAATACCCACTGAAATAATTGAAAATTATTATTCACATATACTCAGAGTTGTAGCAGGGTAATAACTACAGCATTGTTTGCAAATTCACTTTCTTCCTTCACCTCCCAAAGGTGATGCTGTTGTCATCAGAGCAGTGGACCCAAATCCCCTATTTTCCTTGAGGGATTCCTTAGTCCTCTTTTTACTGTCAAGAACAGAAACTTTACCTTAAGCAAGAATGACCTGAAGTGCTCACTGTAAGAATGCACAGCTATGAATTAATGGAATTCCAAAAAGAAGATCACCTGTGTGCCATGTAGAAGCTTTTTTTTCAAAAAGAAAAGGAAAAACAGAGTGTACTAGTTCATCTGTATCCCAGAGCTATTAAGAGGCAGCAGTGCCTCACAGATTCATTTGTTCTGTGTGACATTTTAAACTACTTTATGACAGTTCCTGCACTCTTAATAGGTGCAGATTATATTATCTAAATGCTAATGATCTATTTCATAGCAAAGGTAATAGATCTCTAATGAATGTGGAACTGTCTAATTTTGGTTCCTTTTCAGGGGGTATAATAATTGAAAGGAGGAAACCCATCTTATTTTAATTTTTTTTTTTTTTACCAGATGTATAATAACTTTATCTTTGTATTACTCTGTATTTAATCTGTATGGAAGAATTTACTTTAAGTCCTGGAAGCAAATAGTAAATAATCAATCCAATAGTGAAAAGCAGCTGCCATCAGAAGATGGACTTCAGCTGAGAAAGTATTTTGTTTTAAAAAAAGTCTATAATGCTTGGTTTATGTTAAAATTGTTATACCAAAGCAGAGAATTAAATTTGGTTCTTTTGCCTAAGGAACCTTCCTTAGGTTTTTCTAAGATCCTAAGGAAGGATCTTAGAATTTCAGTAGCATGTTTTCTGTTTATTAGGAATACATCAATTTAATAGAATCCAATTTGTGTTTATAATTGTAATTGCAGTTATAATTCCATTTAGATAATCTTTCATGTTTCTACAGAAATGAGTTATTCCTGAGCCTCAGATGTCTTCCAAAGCTACCCTCATAATTTTTCTTGTTACCATTAAGTCCTTCCAGAAGTTGATTGTTTGCATAATTGTCTGCCATGCACACAAATTTACTACCTAAATTCTTAAGTTAGCAATATTACAAAGTCACTCAAGCTGCATAATGTGGTTAATTTTATTCAGGTTTGCTTGAGATAGATACTGCATTCATATCCTAAAGTGACTTTTCTCCTTTGCAGGGAGGTTTAATTACAATTATAATTTGAGAATTTGCTGGGAAGAAGCCCAGCTTGTCTTAGAGTGTTTCATAAAACCTGGTCCCTGTGATGCTAGACATAGATCAAGCACTTGTGTGTACCATCTGTCTTGCCTAGCCAACAGAGTTAGCAGACTTCCAATGCCTGGATTATAACTGACAGTGCTTTTTAAGAAAATGACTTTGCAGAGGATCTTTAAAAAGCCCCTGATTTTACTTAAACAGTCAGTTAGTCAGTCTTCACGAGGTTTCAAAGGTTTTAGAGATTCCCTTTGTCTCCTTCTAGTTTTGTTGCAGAAAATCAGAAGAGTTGCAATAAAAGATGTTGCCTAATTTATTTTTACAATTGTATCTAAAAAGTAGGAAGAGAAACTTGAATTCAGGAATCTCTCATGAAAGTGTTTTTATTAAGTGATTAATAAATCAACACCTATAAGAAGGAAATAATGGCTATGGAAGAGGCTAGAGGAAAGGAGGAAAAGAAACTTCTGAAATATTTGCAAAACTATATTAAATTCTTAAAGGGAAATGGATAAATCTGATTTGGTTTCTAAACTGATTTTTAGATCACCTTCCAGATGTTAGAATTAATCATTCCCTCCTCACCCTCATTCTGCTGAGAAAGCTGTTTCTTTGCCAGACCCACATGATAAAAAGAGTATGGGCATATTTCCTGGCCCTGTGCTGCTCTGTTCTCCCTGTCTGCTGCATGTTCTGATGCAGTGTTAAAGCCCCCATGATTAGAGCCACACCTGGCAGTGGGCTGGGATGAAAATACTTCTTTCAGGGTATACCAGTCTTAAATCCTGCCTAGGGATAGGAATATATGTTAACCCTGATGGTTTCCCTATGCATAAATGTAGGACAGAGCTGCTTGGAAGCTTTTCCTCCAAGACTAGGTTAGTGCTGTGTAGGATGAGTAGATACAGTAGCTGGTCCAGATGATCTAAGGCATCAGAATCTTCATTGCTGCTGCCAGGGGAGAAGTGCTTTTTTTGTGCTGTCCTTGATTTCTGAAAAGAGAAGACCAGGTACAGGTTTTTTTATCCATTTTCTGAGCCAGTATGCTTCGCTTGGATCAATACAAAAAACCCTGTCCTCTCTAGCTGGAAGGGAAACAGAAAATGGATGGTTTGCTTCTCATATACTTAAGGGAGGTGTATCTGCCTGTCTTTGTGTCTAGTGGCAGTATCTGTGAGTTAGTCTCAAAAATATTCATTTATTAATTCATTTCATGTGGATGCAGAGCTATTTGGTTATCATACTTCTAAAACCCTCTAGAACTTCTTATCTCTGATGGAAAACATTAGAAAACACATAGATTCTCCTTGACTTAGTCAAATTAGTCTTCATTAATGAATTAGGGAAACTAAAGATTAGGCACAAGTAGCATGGGAAACTGACCAGCATCAGCACACCTGGAATTATTTGATTCCTGCATGAAGATTCAGTGACTTAAGAAACTGTATCTGTGCAGAGAGAAAATGCTTTAGTTATATCCTGTAAAGGCAGAAGAGCAATGATTCCCTACAGTGTCCTGGAGGATCAAAGATACACAGTAAGCTCTCTGACAGTTCCCAAAGCCAGATAATTCCATTTTGTCTTGAAAGTAATGAAGTTTAGCAGTAGTGGGAAAAGCTATTACATTATGATGTCATGAAGACTCCTGGTTTCAAATATGAGTCTGTATTGGTTTATAGTAAGTTTTCAATTTTTTTCTCCATCTTTAGGCTGAAATGCAGCTGCATGAGAAAGAGATGGTGAGGCAGCAGCAGAAGGAGATGTTGAATGAACACAGAGAGCTGATTGATGCTCTGACTGCTGAGGTTCTTCAAGTAAGGGAAGAAAACATTACTATACAGGTACTGAGCCCTCCTTGCTTTTTACCCATCAGGATAACGTGTTAGAATTATGAGTTCTGTTGCAAATATGGGCTGAGATGCATTGTCTCAAGTTCTGGAGATTTTAACCATAAACAGAAAGAAAGTGATAAAACTGAATGAGGAGCTTGAGAATTACAGTAGCAGGTATGAAATGTTTGGAAAGTTGTTTGTTTATCTTTATTTAACCTCAAAGCCTGAGAAAGTGCTGGTTCTATGAAACCGACCTTTACTTAATCCATCTAAAAGTTTAGGCATCTTCCTTCACACTTCCATACTGTTAACACTACTGGAGCAATGAGTAGATGTAATACTACATTTTCCTTTTTTTAGTTTCCAGTGGAGGTAGATTTGATGATTGGCTACATTTGGGAATGATGCAATTAATAAACTTTAGAGAGGAAGTAATGTCATGTAAGAAAAGGCAAAACAAATGATTTATAAATGAGAAACGTGGAGACAAAAATATTTAATCCTAACTGGAATCCTAAAGAATCATGCAGTAGTATTAAGAGGCCAGATTTCTTCTCAGGACTTATTGTAGTATATAATTTTCTAATTTATGTTGGTAGAACACAAATTTCTGTAATTCTGTGTATGGGGTTTTTCCCTCCTCTAGAAGAAGCTTCAGCAATACATGACAGTAACAGATCAAAAGCTGATGTGCCTCACACAAGCATTTAAAGGCCTCCCTTTGGTAGAACCTGAAAGAGAACAAAGTCCAGAACATTTTGGAATTGCAAGCAGAGGCCCAGCAAACAGCCAAGGTACGTACAATGAATGTGTGAAGGATGAAAGAGGAGTTGTTACTTTATCCCTGTAGTGGAAAATCTGGTATTTAATAGATGCCTCCTTGCACAGGTTGCTCTTGCAAGAGTGTGAATGTCACTTCTGTAAATTCACAGGCCATATGTTCTGCTGTGAGCACAAGCCAAGGAGGACAGTAGCTTTCCCCCATTAAGGTGGCTTCCAAAGTCAGTTTCATTCTGAGGCTCCTAAAAGAACCCCAGAAACCCAAAGAAGTCAAACCCAACAGAATCAGCATCTCAGCTCCCTGTTGCTGAGCAGCCTGACAGTCTCACATTGGTTCTTCCATACGACACTGGAGGTCGCTGCTGGCCAAAACAGCAGCAGCTGAGGCCCAGAACCCACCAGTCAGAGAGGTGTGACATGGAGACAGGTTAAGCTGAGCCAGTAGATTGGTGCCAGACTAACCAAACATGATTCCCCTCGGACTGTTAACCACCTTTCACCACTGAGCTTCCTCCCAGCTGTTTTTCCTGGTCAGTTGTTTAAATGTGTTGCTGTTGCTCCTGAGGTCAGTAACTTTGTGCGAATCCCAAGATTTCTCAGAGTTCCTTGTATTACATAGTTAAATGTTGGGTTTGTGAATCTTCCTGTAGTTAAAAGCTTTCTTCCTCGAAGGATTTTCTTCTTTGGAAGAAGACACATACCAGACCCTTTTTGATGTGATTGACCCAGGTCTTGTAAAAGCAAACAAAAGGAAACCACCCCCCAAAATATAAAGTCCAAACAAGTCAGAAAAGCACCCCTCAAGAAAACCCCAACCTAATACTCAAACCTTCACATTCAACAATTCTACAGCACTAGAATTTTCAAATCTCTTCCTTAGTAAAAGGAAGAATATTTTTTTTTTAACTGAAGAGATGTCTTATTTGAATTAAGTTATAATAAATTCAACAGAGTTCAAAAAAGCCTTGAATTGTTTTCTAATAGCATTGTTGCCATCACATTCATGGAGCATTAGGAGAAGTGCATAAGTCTGATTTTCACAAGAGAATGTTGCCAAATGCAGCTCAGATACCTGTTCAAATCATGTATCTGTAAGTCTTGTGCATGAACTACAAACAGATGTCATACTACTGTCCTGAAATTGCAAGGCTATGTGTAAGAGTTCTTCCTGCTCTTATGGCCAATAAAGATTTATAATTTGCTTGAGTGAAAGAATTCTGTACCTGAACATCAGAAGGAAGGTGTGGAACATACTCTACTCTCGTCTGTCTTTTCAGGTATCTGAACATAGGAGTTGTTACTGATATTTTTCCTACACTGCTATTTCACTATAAGTAGTTTTTTTTTACTTTTTTTGTTTGCTTGGTTTGTTTTGTTCATTTGCTTAACTTTTACCCCTGCTTTGTCTTCAGAAAAAACTGATTTGACCTACTCTGAGGCCAAGACTGGAGCAGGCAATAGGGAAAATATGCTGAAATTTCCACAGGAAGAACTTCCTTTCACCTATCACCCAGGGCCAGGTGCCTCAGCTGATATGAGACCTGGTAGAAGCTTCCCAGCTCATGTCTTCCAGCCAGCTGTGCTGTTGTCCCCACCACAGCAGAAAAGCACTCAGGAATTGTCTTCCCTCCAGAATGGTGAGATCTCTTTGACTGCAGTAGACATAGGAGTCTGTGTTGTGTGTTACTGTTTCAATCTCACATTACCTCTGAAGATGTATTTTCCATGGAAAATTTTTAATGTGTATGCCTAGGTATATTGGCCCTATAGCTGGAATGTCCTCTACTGCACTCAGACACTTCCTTTGTTACTATGCCTATTGCTGGACAGCCTTTACACTTCCTGTTTTCCATCTGCTGGCAGCAGTCCTGCTAGAGGCAATCCAGACTGACATTTTTATTCTGTACTCATTTTGATTATCTTACCTGTGTGATTGCTGAAGCTCTTTGTGAATGACCTGCAGCACATCATTTCAGATCTGCTGATGGTGTAATCCAGCTCCCGTCACCTTTAATGGTGGGACCACTGAAGCCTGGAATTTCTGTTTCTGCAATGCTGCAGACACAACAGGATGTCTGTAAGCTGTGTGCTCCTGCTTTGAGCAAATCTCCTCAGCAAAGGAGTTTTTAGAAGCTGTGGAAGCCAGGTTTCATTGGGTTTCATTCAATACACAGGAAATGGTTGAGGACATTTTGTGTGAAATTGTGTTGCCAGATAACCAGGTAGCTCAGTCAGTATCCATAGCTCAGTTCTGGTTCATGGGAGGAATAAAGTTCATCAGAGTGATTAGGGAAGTGTTTCTCATTTATTCTTACTGAAGTGAGCAGAAGGAAGCACGCTGTGATTCTAAAACTGAGCTGTTTCCTGCTGCAATTTTCACTGAAAGCACATGCATCCTACTGGACATGCCAGGGTCCTGGATAACACCCTTTTTGAGAGGCTGATAATTACATCCAGGGCCAGAGTGATCGTGGCTGACAAGAAGGAAGGTACAGGAGTGGGTTTTGGGGTTTTCCTCCTTTCTCCCCCCTTTCAGCTATTGTCAGCCTTTTCCAAGGCAGAAAAACAACCAAAAGTCCTTCTGATTTTTAAGGAGTTGGCTGGGCAATTGTAAGTTTATATCTAGTTCAGCCACTTGGTGGGCTGCTGTGCTGTGAGGAGGTGCATAAACAATCTGGAGGAAATGAACTAAAGGTCTTGCTCTAGAAAGAGCAATGTCTGGTTTCAGTCCCATTGAGAACTGTCAGATGTCTTCTGTCATTTGAAACAGCAATGGAGAACTGTATTCCAAGATTTCTCTAAAATATATTGTTCTTCTCTTAAGACTGATGCTAAATGGCCCAACAAATGTTAAACTTAATGAATGTTTCTTTATGCTCATAGCTTCATAAAACACACTCGAGTGTAAATTTTTAAGTATTCATCTCCGCTCAAGAGGCAAAAACTAAAGCTTGTGAAGGAATGGGCTATTTGGTGTATGAAGCATGGAAAAGCTGGTTTTGGTTACAAAAGTCGAGTTGGACTGTCGTAGCAGCAGACAGTGCTGTAACTGTAGACATGTCTCTGTGGTGTGTTATCTCTTTATTGATGATGACCACAAAAAAATACCTCACTACTTTTGTTGGCTACAGTGCTTCCTCTTTAGGGGCTAAGTAGTTAGTTTATTACCATGCCAAAAGTCTTCTACGTTTTTCTTTTAGAATCTAAAAGTTTTGTTAATAACCAAATATAAATATCAAATATAAATATAACTGAAACAAAAACTTTGTTTGTCAGGTAAAGTAACTGAATTTTCGAAAATGGAAGACTAAGAAGTAGTATTTGATCGGTCAGCTAAGAAATTCAAAACAATTTATCTTCTTAGTGACTACTCTGTCAATCTCAAATCATTTGAATGTAAGACTGCAATAGGAAATACTCACATAGTGAGTTCTTACAGCAGGATGTTGCGTAGAGTGGTTTTGATCAGTACCATAACACCATTCAGGCCAGATAGTACAATTCAAATTTCTGCTTGATTATTAGTAACCTGATGCGATAAAGTCACTATCAGTCCCCTCAGTGAGCAGTAAAGTCACTCTTGTCTCCTCAGTGAGGATCTGAGTGTTCTTACTGTTTCTTTATTTTGTGCCTGTAGTGTTTGCAGCCATTTCCCAGTCTACTGAAAGAGAGCCATGCAAGGAAAGGAGCTTACCTTCCTCCCTGAGGACACAGATCACAACTGAGGAGAACTGCCCCATCTCTCAAGGGCAGCCAATTCCTCCTGCAGACAAAGAATTGGAGAGTTCCCATGACAAAACCCATCTGTCCTGCCCAGGTGACACTGGAAAAAACAGCACAGCTGAAGAGTTCCTTCGAAATGGTGATCTGCTGGGACAGATAGCTGAGCTCACACGGCAGAATGCTCTAATGAAAGCTCAACTGAGCAAATTCAGAGGTGCCTCTGGAGACAAAAGTGATTGTCTGCTTCAGCCAGACTTGACACAAAATACAGATCCCAGTCCAGAGTCTTCACAAGGACAGGTTAGAATTTAACAGAAAAGAAAGGCTGGATCTCCTTTCTGTTGATTTGCTTTCCCATAGTTTACTGGTGCTTTTTGTCCTTCATATTGTCACTTACTATTTGTTTTCTTGGAGACTTGTGATTTTTCCATAAGCCAGTCAGCAGTAGCTTCTTATATTGGGCCTATGTTGTACATGGGTTCTGAAGAAGGTTATAAGGTTATGCTGCAGAAAGAGGTGTTGTTGTATTGTGATCCAAGCTCTTGTACTTTGGATGCTGTTAGCAGTGAAAGCACTGCACCAACCCACAGCTTCTTGTCAAGCTTGTAAAATGCATATTTAAAGCCATGTCATACATCTCTGCTACTCTGACCCAAAAGTAGATGAGATTCAAGTTAGTGCAAGTACATCCTTTGCAAATGTTTGATCATAGTGTATATGCTTGTTGGTTCTATCTTGTCAGTCCTCTTCTCTGAAAATCCCAAAGATTTTTGGGAGAGACCTTGAAGGCTTCAGTTTAAGAGGAAAAAAATTAACCTGCAGCTAAGCAGTTACTTAGTAGGTTCCCAGTGAGTGAAGTTAACATCACAAAAAAATCCCTGCCCTTGCTATTGTCTTTTGTTCTATCACAGTGACTGCTTGACTGTTAATTAAGGATCCCAAAGATTGTTAATTTCTTCATTTAAATGTAGGCTGAGTGTGCTGTCACTTTCCACACTGGGTTATGTTGTGTACTGTTTAGTCATTTGGTTGTACAAGTTGATGCAAACCCTTAGTAAGTGTTGTTTTTGTGGAAGCAATTAGGGAGAGGGAGGGGAAGAGGTCAAATAAATCAAAACTTGGTATAAATATGAGTTCCAGGACACTTCTGCCAGAAACCTGCTTTTGCTTCCCCATACCCTCCTGAATATGTGTCTCTCTGATTAAGTATATTCTTAATTATAGTTAATTGCTGGGTGTTTATTTGGTTTGGTTTTGTGGTTTGTTTGGGTTTGGTGGGGTCTTTTTTGGGGGGGTTGTTGTTTTTTGGGGTTTTTTTTTGTGGTTTAGGAGGTTCTTTTGGATGGGGGTTTGGGTTTTTTTTTTTTTCTTTCTCAAATTGTATAGACAACAGCTGTATTTTTCCTACTTGCGGGAAGACCAGTATAAAATACTGTAATGTTTAATCAATTGAGGACTTAGATATAGGACAGTAAAAGGGCCAAAATCAAATTTTTCACAGAAGTGCTACATAATTATATTCACTTTCAGTTTGAAAACGAAATGCATAGAAGTACTTGAAATATATTGTGTGCCCTCCTTTAGGGTGAAAATTTTAAATATTTCATTGGAAGTAATTATTCCATTATCCAAGTAGAGTCATCTCATGGTATCAAGGAGCTTGGAGGAAAGAATAGCGGAGCTGACTCGCCAGAGTACAGAAGCACGGGATAAACTGTTGCAGTTGATAGACCAGCAGAAATCAGCTGCTGCTGATATGGTCCCTCCAGTGCTGTCTCCTGTTCTAACCCCATCCCTGAATTACACTGGTAAGTACCCAGCTTCAGGAGAAACAAAAACTAGTCAGTTTTAACTGGTCCTTATCTTACTGGATCAGTGGTTGTGGTCAGAAGTACACTTGCTGTTAATGCCTGTGTGGTACAAACACCTCTTACTTCAGAGAGCTAAAAATATATCATCTAAATCTCTGCTGAAGTTATCTTCTAAGTAATTAGTCTGCTGCAAGTACTGTGCTTCATTGTTAAATCTGTTCTTTGGTTTGTTCTTGTCTGAAGAACAGGTGCTACATTTGGACATTAGTAGGAACTTCTTTACAGAAAGGGTTGTTGGGCATTGGAATAGGGTGCACAGGGAGTGGTGGAGTCACCATCCCTGGAAGTGCTTAAGGAAATATTGGATGTGGCATATTGACAAGGTGTTCAGAAGTTGGAGGTGATGCTCTCTGGTGTCTTTTTCAACTTAGTTGATTCTCTGATAATCTCTGGTGGTCAGGACTGGGCTTTTTAATCAGCCCTCTTATCATGCAGAATCCTGGGTGAAATAGACTGAAATATTTACATCAGGCTTCTAAAGCTTATGGCAGAGTGGTCATCCCACTCTCAACCCCATTTTAGTTTTTGTCTTTTGGGTACTCTTTCCATCAGATTGTCTTGCTGAGTTACTGCCTGTGCTAATAGAAAGGAATAACTGAAGCTTCCAGTCATGTAAAGAGGTAAATTAGCTTAGGGAGTATACTTGCTGGTTCAAGATTCATAGATCAGCTGCCATGTATAACTGTAAAAAAAATTACTTTGCAGGAGGTCAGAGCTCCTTTATCTTTTCATGGTGTCATTGTCATTACAAGCAAAACTGCTTGTGACTGTGTACAGGTCAGAGACATCTGTCCTGTGAAACCACAGAGGATGTACAAAGAGGAAAGGACTTGGAGAGAGGAATATGGGGGAGGAGGGAGCAGTGTGTGGGTATTTGCATGCAGGTGCCTATGCAGAACTCCTGGGTCCGTTCATAACTCTTGCAATGCTTGTTTGGCTGTTGTAATGTAAATTCAGCATGGTAAGTAAAAACTTAAAGAAGCAAAGATGAGAGATCAGAAGTCTCTAAGCATGTAATTGCCAACAACCAGAAAGTTTAACTGTGGAAGCATCATTCTATATATGTGAGCATTGTGTGTAGCTGCTCTGAGTCTCTGCTTTCACTGTCAGTCATTTTCAGAAAGTGAATGTGAGGTTGGCATTTAACCTGATGTTTTATTTCTGGTCTGTGTATCTGTGCCATTGGGAAGAGATTGTGATGCCTCAGGGAAAAACAGTAAAACAAAATGAATGTTGTGCAATGTTGCTGTGTTCTCATCAGAATCAAGCAATTATTTATCACCTAGAAAATGCAAGGAGGACAGCTGAAATGTCTGTTCCCATGGCAGTGGCTACAGACAGCTCCAAGGATGACAGTGTTCCCCATGCCCGTATGACCAGTATAAGAAGGTAAAAGTTCATCCTTTACTGTTTCATATTTGTAGTGTCTTAAGTACCAATGCAGCAGAAATTGAACACAATGGATAAATTGTAGTGTGTGTTTTTGGCTTTGTGGATTTTCCCTTACTTTCTCACATTAAATCTGCAAATGGGACAAAGGTCTAATAGCTTTTTCACAACTTCCTTTGTTTGTATTTTAACTATCTGCAGTCTGACATAAGACAGATGAGATGTGTTGTTGATGACTGCTGATGAGGGATCCTAACTCAGGATCAGAAATAACATTCTAGTAGTCACTTCCATTTTTCACTTTTTATATCTTATTTTGAATATTTCCAGGACTGTAGGAGACTCCAGCAAACCTTTAAGTGCCACATCAGAAAGTACCAAATTAACTTCTGTCAGTCAAAGACCAAAGGTGAGTCTGCAAAATCTTTAATCAGAAAATTTTAATATGTTATCATAAAAGGAGAAAGATAATCATAAGAAGGATGAAGAGAGGCAAGCTCTGTCCTGTTTTAAATATCCCAAGGCTATTATCAATCACTTAGTGGCAGATTGGATTACAGACAGTTGGTAAGAAGAGACCTGAGTACTAGTGACCTAGTGACAGTCATTATTTTCTGCCACAGAGTTGTTTATAAGTAACTCTTTTCTGCTGTGGCATCTTCGTGTGTTAGAACTGGAAACCTCTGGAAATTTTCCCTGGTGGCTCCAGAGAATTTCAAGCCATGATTATGATGTACTGGTAGAGCCACAGTCAAGAGGCAAGCAAGCTCTTACCTAGCTGTTGCACAAGTCAGTTGCTGAAGGATGAATAAATACAAATGTAAAGAAAGCCCCAATCTAGATTTCTGACTCCTGATGTGCAAAGAAAAGGATAGACTGTGCTGAGATGCTTTCACAGGGAGACCTGCAGTGGTACAGACTGATAAACCAGTCATAAGAGCTGTTCATAGGCTTGAAAGCAACCATGAGGACATATCAATAACCTATTTCCTGGTGTCCAAAATGTCCTAAATTAAGTTAGAACCTGATAAGGAGAACAGAGTTAGGGTCCAGGACTTGCTATCGTAACGGCAAGCTATAAATCCCTAGAAGGGAATTTTAATTTTTGAAATTATTAAGGAAGGTGTGGCTTGAAGTAGGTGGTGTGACTCCCTCCATGGTGCCAGTTGCAGACAACAATCGTGACACACAGATCTATGGAAAATTTACTGTATATTATTCTCAATTGATTTCTTCTTTTACAAATTTCTTCTTTTCTTCTTTTTGATTTCTTCTTTTTTCTTTTCTTTTTCTTTCTTTACTGTATATTATTCTCAATTGATTTCTTCTTTTACAGATAGAAAAGCAGAAAGAAGAAGGATGGTTTGCATTGTCAATGCATATTATGTAAAGCAAGCTGACCTCAAGTCCTGTATTTTTAAAATATTTTTAATTAACTACAAATAAATTACAATATCTCTCTACAGATGTGCAGTTTAACTCTGAAGTGTTTTTATGTCAGTGCCATTTGTATGAAAAGGGCCATGTCCTTACTGTATTTGTGCCCTACAGAGCAATCTAAGAAGCCCTGGGAATGAGTTTCTGAGCTGGACACACTGCTGTGACCTTACACCTTTTCACCAAAAAAATTTTTCATGAGGTTGTAAACTCAGGCTGCTGGAGCTTTACAAGTAAGCACCTTGATACTTCTGTTAGGTATATTGAAGGCAGAAGATTTTAGAAATTGCCTGTGAAACTTTCTGGAGCATGTATTTGCACAAGGTATGGGAATAAAATGTCAGGAAGAACTGAGATGAGGGAAGGTACCTGCATTGATAAGGAACCTGGAGATTAGGAAGGCAGTCTGTTTCTGGTGGATAAGTATTTGCATCAGACAGAATTTATTCCTTCTGTGGTTTACAGTTGATCCCAAAAATTATGTTTTCTGTGTAGTTAACTTGTTAGAGATTGCATCTGGACTGGAGGATTGTTTTTCAAAAATCTCATTTAATATTTTTATAGTAAATATAAAGTGAGTATTTGAAGTTAAAATCAGAATCTTTTTTGCTATGTATGAAAGTATGTGGTCTTTGATATAACAGAAAATTGATACATATAATAGTATTAAGCTGGTTTGCTGTGTGTTTATGTAATATTCTAATGCCCATGGTTCTTATATTTGTTTTATTTGACTTTTTAAAGTAGTCATTATTTTATTAGCAATGATTACCTATAAAATTTAAGAGTTTGAGGAAATGCTTTGTTATCTGTTCCTTAGGTTGTAGTAAACCTTGCCAAAAACATTTATGATGGAGATCTATAAAATGAAAATTAATTTGCAAGTCTGGGAAAGAATATAGCTGCAAGTATCAAAACCAGACTTTTTTTTAACTGTGAAATTTCCTCCTAGAGGTAGTGATAGGATGGAGCCAGCCTCTGTCCTTTTGTCAGTTCAGTTATAGGAGAATGAAGAAAATAATGCTTCTTTTTTTTCTGATTTGTTTTTTGTAAAGGAAAGGTTCTAAACAGATCTAGAAAATAAAAAAGTGAGATTCAGAAGAGGGTCTGTTCAAATGTTCATTGGCATTTCCATGATTTATTTTTCCAATGTTAGCTTTGGGAGGTGAAGAAGGTTTATATTTCTGTATTTTGTGAAATAACAGTTAAAATTGCTTGGAAGAAATCCCTCAACTCATGAAGAGACAGCAGTGCCACAGTTGGGATGGGACTACATAACCATAGTGCCACAGGTAATGCTGTTGCCTCTGCTAATGTTTGCTACAAATTAATTAGAATTCCTTTTAGAATACAGGATTGGAATTAATCCTTAGAGTCATCTATTTTCTTTAACTTGGAAGTCTCTAGGTGGGAGGGACACATCCACTCCAGATGGCTCCAGTCACTTCCCACCATCTCCACAGCCTGTGACTTCTGTGGTTCAGGCTAGGGTCACAAAGTGTTCTGTGGTTAGAAATGAGCTGCCCTTGGGATCTCATGGAAGTGTGTTTGCTGGAATACTGAAGGCTAGTAAAGCTCAAGGCAGTGTCTGAGAAACTGCTAGTGCCAGGAGTTTTATGGGGGATTTGTTTTTTTTTGTCTGTTCTAGACCAAGAAACAAACTGCAGCTGTTGATAGAATTCAACTCACCAGCTCAAGCTTTGGTGCTTGATAAGCAGGCTGGCCTGTACCTGTCTGAAACAAAAGGCTGACTCGTGAGATTAACACCTGCTCCTGCAGGGAACTGGTTGGATTTTATATTTCTTTGTGTGTACATATATGCATAAAAGTGTGCTTGGTCAGGCCTCATACTGACCTCAAGTCTCATCTAAGTGAATTCCCTGCTCTCACTGCCCCGCAGCAAGACCAGGTTTTTGTTCCTAGCTCTATCTTAGTGAAATACCCTACTGTTATACCCTTTTATCTCCTTGTCCCAGCAGTGAAGGCAAAGGAAAAACAACTCCATTTGTCTTCTCAGTATCAGTATTAAGTGGGCACAGCACCAAGCCTGACAGAACTCAAGAAGTGATTGGATAATATTCTTGGGAAAATGGTATTGTTCTTAGGGCTGTCCTGTGCAGGGTCAGGAGTTGGAATTCAATGAGCCTTGTGGGTCCCTTCCAACTCTGAGTATTCAATGATTCTATGGTCTTTTGCATGTAGAAACTTAGAGCCTTTCAGATCACTTCCCTCTCTCAAGTATGCCTGAAGGAAGCTAAAAAAGATCAATGGCCTGACATCAGAAAGAATTTGCTTCCTTAGAAAAGCCTCCTTGGAAAAAAATACGGTTTCATCTTCCCTTCAGAAAATGTAGGCAGGATTCAGGAGAGATTAAAAAGAATATATATAGCAACAGAAAGCTGAAAGTGGCAGCAGGTGGCTGGAAAGCTGCAGGGAGGGAGGGGAAAGCAGGAATGTCTGGTCAGAAGCCACAGCAAGGGCAAGTCTGCACAAATCCTGTGTTGCTGGGTGGTTTAGCTGCAGCTGCTTTGGTCTTCAAAGAGCTGCTGCCAGCTGAGGGGGATAATGCTTGACAACTTCAGACTCTTTCCTGTTGCAAATCTGGAGGACAAGAGAGATCCACACATCTTTTGCTGCTTGCTTTCTATGTTTCAAGTGTTAGCACATCTCCATGCCCTATCCACCTCCTGTTTGCTGTTTCAGAGTTAAGCCAAGTCCATGTGTGATGATGGTGAGCCTCCCATTAGTGAGTGGCAGAGGTTTAGGCTGCCAGGTGTGCTGTTCTGCTGCCTTCCTCCTTCACCTCTCCCAGGTTACACTGCAGTGGCTGAAGTCCTGCTGAAGCATAAGTTTGATGTGTGACATTAGCAGGTCACAAAAATGTACTTTGGAGTCCAGCATGAAAATGAAGATACATGGGCTTGTGTTAAATGAGGTAACTTGAGATTCAGTTCAGTTTTGTCTCCAAAGCCCAAAACAAGCCTTAAGAGGAAAAGCTACTGGCATATTTAAAAGAGAGTGTATAGAGTGCCAAGGGAGATGTTTGGTAGTGAAGGTGTTTCTCTGGAGAGTGAGTTCCCCTAGGAATACTTTGTAGAAAATCTCTGAAATCCCAGGACAGAACTCTTCTCTCTGTCCCAAGTGGTGTTCCTTAGCAGGAAATCAGTGTTGTCCTTCTGTTGCAGCTTTCACATTCCCCCATGTGCCATGGGCTTGCAGAAATTTTGTCACGTGAGACTTGGGCTAGGAGCAATTTACTTGAGCATGTTTGAAGCCCAGCACAAGTAAAGGTCAAACGGCACCTCCTTTAAAAACATGCTTTTAAACTAAAAAATGAGAGACTTAGGTTAAACGTTAGGAAGAAATCTTTTACCCAGCGTGTGGTGATTTCATGGAGATCAGGCTGGATGCAGAAAGTGAGGATTGGGGATAACACCAGCCTCTGCCTCACAGAAATGCTCCTCTCACCATTGAAGTGACAATTTCAAATGCATCTTTAGCTGACTGTGGGAGAGGTTCTGCCCAAACTGGGTGATGTTTGTAAATCCTTTGTTGGATTTTCTGGATGAGATTGATATAAAGGGGAAGAGCTATCAGCTGGGTAACGATGCATCAAGTACTCCCAGACCAAGCCTGGCAAAACTGCCACATTTAGAGAAGTCTCTGAAACACAGTAATTCCCAGGGCTAACAAATTCACAGCAAAACTGGACTTGTTGATCAACAGGAAAGAATCCAGCAGTATGTTCTACTTGTCTTTTCTTTGTAAATTCCCCAAATGAGTAATTTTCCATGCTCCTCTGGCTGCCATTAAGCTAAGTTCTGCTACTTTGACAAGTTCCCAGGTTTCTGTCAACAAGTCATCTCAGACTTTTCTTCAGTCCTGTTCACCAATGACTTCCATTTCACATAAGAAACAAATAAACTTTTTCAGTTTATTTGTTTCTTATGGCAGAATGTCCAGAAACAACTCCCTAAAATTATCACAGTAAATAGGTTCAGGAAAGCATGAAGCATCCAGTTCAAAATTTAATAAATGGACTATACTCATGCCATTCACAGAGTCTAGGAGGGAAATTATCCTTTAAAGATTTTTTTGAACATGCTGTAAAAAGTTTTACCAATATTCCTTCAGAAAAATATAAATGGGAAAGCAGCATAAAGCTTTCCACAGAAGAGGCTAATTAGGAGATACAATAGAAATATTAGTCAGAAGTCCCTGACGAGAAGGAAGAAGGAAACAAATATTCCATATCTCAGTGTAATGATCTAGTGTTTAATTGTAGGAAATGAGAAGCAGATAAACAGGAAAAAGAGGAAGGAGGTGGCAGTGAAAGTAAGGTGTGGAAAGACCAGATCACTCAGAGCAACTACTCTGGAAGGCTCTGATAGACATCATTCACAATAGGGGCAGGAAAATAAGTTTAAAGAGGACTTAATTTCAAGTAGATCTTGGGTCAAATGAGAATATTTAGCTATCCATCAACTCTTGTGGAAAAAGGAAAACATTGGCTTAATTTTAATAACATTTTCATTGCTTCATTTCTGTAACTATGCTCCTTGATTGCCCTCCAATGTATATAAGTTAACATATTGGATTTTTCATCCGTAAATTTTGATCAGTTACAAAGTAAACTCTGAGTAATCAAAGATGTGAGATGCTCTGTCAGTCAAGTTCTTTGCAGTGCTTTGCAGACCAATGTGCTTAATTGGAGATATTCACAGAGCTCCAGTTTTCATGTCCACTGAGTTGCCTTCCACAGTTTAGAATGTAGTGGCACAGGGGCTTCCTCCACTGGATGACAGTACCCAAGAAAGTAACCAAAGTGAATCATGAGTTTGTACTAAAGCAGCTCCTGTTTTGTGGGTCACAGGGTTCATTTTTTGTTTTTTGGGTTTTTTTTCCCTGTATTTCTGTGTTTCCTTTCTTTCCCCAAGTCTCACAGGGCTCCCTTGATGATTCTCTCCAGCCCATTTCACTACAACTTCCTCCAATCATCCTGAGAGTGCTTCTGCTTTGTACTGGTAA